TTGCATTCTTGCCAGCAATTTTGCTTATTCTGAAGGCTGTTTAGATTTATGTATAATCTTTAAAAACTTTTTCAAACTTGCAAGTTAATTAGGAGAAATCCAGTAATGGAATTTTTAATTGATAATATTGTTTAGAGCTAAAAATGCATATTTTCTAATTTCAAAATTCACTGAATAAATTTCTATTTTTTTTTGAGAAGAAATCGAAAGGGAGGGAAAGAACGCTTGATATTATTACTTGTAATTCAAGTAATTTTCAGATTGTTGGTGTTGATCCTATCGGCTCAATTCTTGCTGATTCAGAAGATAGCGAAATTTCAACTTATGAGGTGCAAACAATTTTATTATGGTTGAAAAAAATAATGATCTACAGCTGTTGCCTTGATAATTCAGTTCTCTCTACTTCAATCAGATCCTTGAAGACACACTAAAATGTGCTTCGATCAGATAAAACACAGTATTCATTATGAATCACTTGCATAAATTTTAAATGTAAAAAAAAAAACAAATTTGGAGGCTAAATGACATCAGGGAAAATTTTAAAAATTTAAAGTTTTATGAATTAAGCCGCTCTAAAAAAAAGACGACAGATTGTTTATAAAAAAAGGAAGTGCGAAAAGTAGCAATCGAAGAAATAAGTGCATATACTCTTCAATTCATTCAATTTGTGACAATCGCATTAGGTGCTATCGAGAAACAATGAATTGTCAGCTCTTCCGGTCTTTTTTTTTAATTTTTCAAGAAATTTATGCTTCACAGAACATTCATCAATTAAAAATTATCACATTTTATTGTGTGGAATTTTTGCTATTGGCGTTGTTTTTAGGTGAAAGGAATTAGCAATGATTTTATTCGCACAGTATTTGATCGTGATATTATTGATTTTTGGATGAAAATCATTGATAAGGAATCATTTGAAATGTCTCGTTTATTAGCTAAATATGAAGGCTTACTATGCAGTGGCAGTTCAGGAGCTAATGTTTTTTGCGCCATGAAAACTGCCAAAGAATTGACTGAAAATCAAAAATGTGTTATCATATTGCCAGATGGAATCACTAATTATATGTGAGAAAATAACAGTTTTAATTTTGAGTGATTTTTTATCTGTTAAATTTCTTATCAGTTACCATAAGACAAACAATTATATCCTTTTATAATTAAATTAGCGGATTGCAGAAAGGAAAGAATCATTTTTTGCCGTTTCTTTTTTTATTGACACTTCCATTTACATTCTTTTTTCATTTTGAAGAATTTTTAAGCTATTGAGTGTTTTACATTAATTAATAAGTTATGATTTCTGAAGATTCCCGGAATATCTGAAACCGTGATCATTAGTGTGTTTTTCCCGATTGATTGGACATCGCGGGTGTATTAATATCTAAAATGTCATCCGATGAAGTTTTAATTCGAATTACTAAGTCTTCGTTGTTCACAGACATTATATTTTATCAAGTCGTTTAAAGGATGTAAGATTTATATTTCAATACTGGCAACTTTTTTAGCATTCTCGCAGTGTAATTATTAGCCCGAATTAATTTTAGATCAATTAATTCAATGTTTCAGTGACAAATAATATATGGTTCATGCAGGACAAAGTTTGTGAATGATGAGTGGATGAAATCTCGCTTATTCTGCACTATCACTAACCAATACAAAAATGTATCAGAAACACATTTGAATGTAAAATTTATCCCTTAAATTATTTTTTAAATTGCTGTCACGAAACATTTCGCTATCCTTCAATTGTAATGCATATTTATAAATAAATTGTCACCATATAATAACATCTTTTAAAAGTGATATTATTGCATTTAACAAAGCTCAGTTGAGAAATATCATTGAAGTTATTATGGCTCTTAAAAAATTATTGGGCAAATTCGCAAATTTTGCATATTAAACAAGTAACAATGAGTTAACAGTTAATTAATTATTTGTGTTATATGGATGCTGGTGGAAGAGAATTGCTTGGCTTTGTTTTCGGCGCTTTGGTAGGATAAATGAAAAACATTAACAAAAGCAAACCACTTGTTATCATAAATGCTGCATTCGCCACCTGCAAAATGAAATGAGAAAATAAGTTCTTTAACATTATGAATTTCTTGAATTTTAACTTTTGAACAAACTTTTGTTCCCTTGCAAAAAACACAAAAAAAAACAAGAAAATGATATCATTTTACATTTTTGAGGTCAAGATCCAACATTGTAACTAACCAATAAATGGAAATCCATGATCCCAATGCTGTAGATGACAACGTGTATTTCCAGAACCCATATAATTGCTACTGTTTTAAGTGGTATAAAATCTATTACTTTCTGTTTCACCGCTTTATACTGCAAATTTTATTTTCCTTTCAATTATCAATTCATAATTTTCTTCCTTTATTTGAAAAGAAATTAGAATTGCACATATATAGAGATTAATTATGCGTTTGATACAGTTCATCAAGAAGAAAGTATTATTTGTTCACATGGATGTGTATTTTATCGCATGCCAAAATTTTAATTTGCTAATATCTTAACTTATTTCATTTGATTTGTCATTTTTCGTGAAATTATAGGAGTGCTAAATTTTGAAATACATACAGCCAAAAATAAGCAGCCTGATGATCCGATAGTTTGAGAACAAGATGCCACGCTACCAATTAATGCTCGACCATCTTTAGCTTGTAACATTTGCGCCAAAAGAAATAAAAT